AGAAAAAAGTTCCTTCGTAGTTGGACATGGGACGATCACCGTACACTGTATTTACACCAGCATCAAAGGCTTCATTGTCATTGAACAAAATGGGCGCGGATTTCTTAGTTTCCAGGGCTGTAGTTGGCTTATTTTGCCTTGAGAAGAAACCTAAAATGTACGAAGACAAGAGTAACGCAGATCGCTGCCCCGTCAACACCTATTTGGCTTACAAAGAGCACCGGCCCACAAGCATGATGACCGATGAATCTCCTTTCTATCTTGCGGTTTATAACGAAAACCCGAAACCTGGTCAAATGTGGTTCAAATGTTCTCCGCGTGGAGTCAACTCCTTGAGAAGCATGCTCAAGAACATGATAAGAGATTTGGGCTTAGAAACAGATAAAAACTTGTAAATCACAGCACAAGAAAGCATTTGGTTCAGAAGCTGGTTGATAATGACATACCGCCAAACGAAATCATTCAGATCACTGGAAATAAAAACGTTAACTCTTTAAACAACTACTCATCTTTATCCGACAAGAAACAGCAGCAGATTTCCGCTGTGTTGTCTAATGCTGCCAGTACCAGGCAAAGCTTGTCAGCCGTATCTATTGAAGAGAATACTAAAGCGGAAAGCTTTTTATCGGGTGCAACTTCGGGAAGTTTATTTCAAAATTGCCAAATCGCAACGGTAAATGTCCAAGTTTATCAGTCCGGTCGAACTGAAAAGTCTTCAAAGATTCGTTGTGAAAAGAAACTGAAAATCACTGTATCTGATGATTCAAGTCAAAGTCAGTAATTTTTTTAGTATTTACGTGTAATATTAGCTCACAGAATTTGCTTGATTGGGTTTAGTGTTTCCATATACTTGGCACCAAGTACTTTTGTATTTTCTGTTTGCTATAAAGCACAGCCGTATTTGTAAAACTTGACTACTTTGAAACACAATAAAATCGGAAATATTCAATATTTGGTCTCCATATAATAAAAAGAACATTACACCTTGGCTCTAAGATATGAATTTTATGTTCTCGTGGCAAGAACAATAACATCTTACTCGTTCGCTTCGCTCACTCGTGAGATATTGTTCTTGCCACTCGAACATAAAATTCATATCTTCTCACCACCGTGTAATATCCTCTATAAATATAATCGCGACTGCTCATGACTTTTTTAGTTCTGATCCATTGTTTAGTGGTTTAGACCCTGTTAGTCTAAAAGGTATCGATAAGCAGTTGTAATTTCTTTTCATTTCATTCAAATGATGCCTAATTTGCTGTAAATTTAGGTAAAGTTTTAAGGAAGTCAGTTTTTTGTGTAGTTCAATGAAGACAACATAGCTCAAAGACAACAACATTTTACTGGAAGTTAACAGACTACACAGAGATCTATTAAGCATTTGTTTTTCTGCCTTTACAGTCTTATGAACTTTGTGTCATTTGTTTTTGTCTTTTTCTTTTTCCTCTGCATGAGTGTTTGGGAAAAAATAGAATGGAACAGAAAAAAACAAACAAACAAACAAAGCATACTTGAAGCTGCCCATCGAGATAATGAAATGGTGATAGAAGCTTTCCCAATTTGGGGGGGTACAATATTCGGGCATTTAAAAACTTTTATCTCGCGTAACAGAAACTTATTAAGGTTGGCCCGGCTAATTTTTTTTTCGTTTTTGTTATTGTTAAAAAAATACTCACACAAACAAATAGATATTTGCCAAAACTATTACTGCCCTCTGAACGTACAATCAGCAGGGTCTCGGTCATATTTGATAAACGTAACATGTCTTTGGGAATAAAATTACTGAAGGTGCAAAAATACAGCATTTTTAGCTACCATGAGAAAAAATCATTTTTCTTAGTACCCACCTTGAACGACTAAATGTACATAATCAAAGGCTGTAGAGTATGGACCCACAGGAAATAACTCGCAACCATAAAATGCCTCATCACTTTTCTTGATTTTGGTAAGGATAAAAATGACAGAGCCAGAGGAGGCACTACCATTCCCACTTACTCGTCCAACATATGCTTGAGGGGGTGTCAAAGTTAATTGTCCTTGAAGCCTAATAGATATGAGTTTCTTATTCACATCAACTGTAGCACTAACAGAATCCTTCAGTCCCCAAGTTACGGTTTCAACACCATTTGAAAAGTTCCAAGTAAAGGTAATGGATGAACCAACTATCCCGAACACGTCTCTGCCATCATATTTTTGAACGAATTTTATCTGACCTTAAATAAAAGTAAATATACAAGATGACTGACAAGTTAAGTTATACTAATTTATAGATGTTCTTAAAAACAATTTAAACTTGTATGAACTTAAGACTTAAGTTATATTAATTTATAGATGTTCTTAAAGTTGAATGCGCTAATGCTTGAGTTCTTTGACGAGCATTTAATTCTAAATTATGTGAGGGTCACATCTCAAACACAAGTTTTAAAAAAATTAAGTTTCAACATTGGCTTGAATGAAGCCATTTTACTTTTTCAAAATTACTTTGATGTAAGATTATAGG